CTCTCCCTACATTACAGCGTTTAAGAAAATAACTTATTGACTTTCGGATGAGTTTCTCTTTTTTTTTGGCAGGAGAGCTGGTTTGTCTTGTTGGAGGTGACCACAGAAAAAGGGAAGGAATGGGACTTTATTTGACACCTCTTGATGCTTCCTCTTGGTGCATTTCTGAGGGGCTGGGTAGGTTGGGGGGCAATGTGTGTAGATGGGGGAGTGCGAGACAAAGGACCTGCAATCCTAACCACCCCTTTGCAAGAGAGGCGCATGTGTGCAGGTCAGGTAAGGTCACCTGCTACGTCCTCACAAGGCCTGAGTTCAAAGCCTGCTTCCCAAAGGCAGTTCTCACTGTTTTTTGTGGCATATTCTTAAGGAGAAAAGGATGGTGCATTACAAAAGTAGATGCAGAAATGCTTGTCTTCTGGACTCTGACCATAGGGAGGCACCCAAGTCCACTACTGGAGCTCCTACCAGCCAGGCCAAGGGTGAAGGTGGTGGAGGAGAGCCTACAGCAGAGCCAGGAAGGGATTTTTGAGGGGTTCTTGGTGAGGTTGCTGGAGAAAGAGGTAAGAGGAAGAAAAGGAGCAAGGGGAGACTAGTACTGCCAAGAGCGGGGAAAGAGATGGGGTGTCTTGGGAGAAAAAGGAAGAGGAGGGAATGGAGTGGCTCCCTGAAAGCGCCAACAGAAAACTGTTGGCTTGGCCAACACAGGAAGGGTGGAGGAGGAGGAGAAAAATAGGGAAAAGGCTGAGAAGCAGAGATGGGGCAGAAGGAGTGGGTGTCTTCCTCTCTAGAGGCCCCCCACCCAGAAAGCTCAGGCCAACGATGCAAATGGTGATAAGACAGCGCTTGGGGGAGGGAGAAAGGATGAGAAAACGATGGTGAAGTGCCCCTGTTTAAATCTTTGCTAATAGCCACGTTGGCCATAGCATCAGTCAACGTCAAGAGTGTTGTAGGCATGAGTAAGGAGCAAGTACTTACCTGCTCCTGGGAAAGGGTCAGGCCCAAGGAGCTTTCATTTGCTAATGAATCCCGAGCATCCTCGTGTTCAGGGAAACCTGCAGCAGGGCAGGCCAGGAAGGCAGCAGCTCTTGGCTACTAGAAAGGAAAACCGTATCTGGAGGTATGGGTAGGAGCTAAGAGGAGGGAGGAGGGTCCTGAGGACCGGTGTGGGGTGAGCCCTGAGAAGGGGGCTATGAGTCAGTGGCCTATTGGGGGGCCAGGTGAGCCCTGAGAGAGGGGCTGAGTGTTTAGGAGACCCGTTGCAGGGTCTGGGTGAGCCCAGCGAGCTGGGGCAGAGTGCAAGGGGTCCAGATGAGCCCAGTGAAGGAAGGGGCTGTGTTAGTGAAGACCTGCGGAGGGCTCCCAGTGAGCTTGGTCCGGAGCTCGGACCTATGGAGGGGCCCCAGAGCATGGGCCGGCAGCCTCAACTGGTCTGTCTGGGGCCAGGGCCCAGGAGGGACCGAAGGTACTTGTGTGGCCGCAGCAGAGGGGAAGGGCTCAAGGGGCATGCCGCCCGGGATGCCGATGGCTGATGCTAAGGATCAAGGAAAGGGGTCCAAGGAGCCAGGGAAGACCAGGACCACATGGGTCCAGAGGAAAGAGGGGGCAGCCCCCGCTTCTCTACGATGGATCTGAGCTGTCCGGACAGAGGGCAGCACTACGCTGGTCTTGCTGGCGACCACGTCCTCCCTGCGTGGAAATGGGGGAGAATACTGATTACGCTGATGGGGATAAACCATTGATGGCTGGGGTGCCTTACAGACTGGTAAAGTTTCTCCTAAGATTCATCTCTCCCTCCCCTCTTTCTCCTGCTTTAATAAAGCCAGTTGTAGTTCGCTTTTGGTCGTGAGCAGGGAAGTTTGCTCACTGTGCAACACCCAGGTCACATTAATTTTTTCCTCGGTTTCCGAGTGGAGGTTTGAGCCAAGACAGAAAATGTGCATAAAACCCCTAAATTTGAACCCAGCCTTGGTTACTGCTATCCAGCGCCTAGCTGAAGGGTTACATTTGTGTTTATTTTTTTTCTCCCCATCGGTGCAACAGCTTGCATTCGTCTGCATTGAACTTCATCCTAAACCCCAGGGCAGAGCCACTGAGGAAGACATCCCCAGCTGTTCTTCACTATGCCAGCCCCCCTAGCCAAGGGCTACGTCTGGGGTGCAGCAGCCGGGGGTCAATGATATATCAGCTTTGGGGCCTGCTCCCTTCTCTCATGGGAAGTTCATGAGCAAGGAGAGGACTGAACTTTGGCCCGGCAGGCTAGGGCTCCTGCTACTGGACAAGAGAGGTCTCAGTATTATTATGGATAGTATCAGCATAGTATTAGGAGTCATCGAAAATGCAAATCAGGTGCCAGGCATTATTAAGAGGAGGATTGGGGGGCGGGAGGAAACAGGAAAAAGGCAAGGTGGCATCTTTAAACCTAACTTGTCCATGCCTAGGCAGGGAGTCGGACTCGATGATCCTGTTGAGGTCCCTTCCGACCCAAGCATGTTGCACATCAGCAACCACACCATACTTTGCAGGAAGGAAAACCTTAATCCAATGGCAAGGAATATCTAGATGACCAGAGGCTTCTCTTCCACTGCAGCCATCACCCCGCTTTGCAGCCGTTGCAAAGTACTTTTTCTTATCCGCCTGCTCTGCCACCGAGGACTTTTATTTTTGGATCATGGTTAGACTGGAAACCTTATTCTGGACCTTGCCCCCATGGACAACCCTACCAGGAGAACAAAACTCGAGGTGGCATCGCTCTCAAGGTCATTGGTAGTGTACAAGGCTCTTTACCACATTGAGGTTGAGCTCCTTGGGGTTTTAATGAATCTCGGGGTCAACATGGAAATGTTGTTCTGCCACGGGGGTGCGCACATCCTAAATACTGCATGCCATTCTGGTTCCCGCACCTTGAAGAGACACCTCTGAAGGGATGTAATAGAGGTAAAAAAGGTACAAGAGAGGAGCAATAAAGATGAGCAGGGGCATGGAGAGGCTTCCCGATGAGGATAGTTGAAACAGGCTATTGAGTTGAGGGGAGTCTAACAGAGGCCTATAAAAATCATGAACGGTGCGGAGCGGAGAAAGTAAATAAGGAGTTATTATTTACCATTTTTCTCAGTATCAAAACTTAGGCACACCCAAGGGAATGATTAGGTACTGGTTTTAAAAGAAACCCAAGGAAGTTTTTGTTTTTTCATACAACGGGCAATTAACTCGTGGCACTCCTTGCCGCAGGAAGTTGTAGATGTCGACAATATAATTGAGTCCAAAAGGTAGACTGGACAGATTCGTGCCATGCAGGTCTGTTGGTGGGTGTTTAAACATACGGGCACCAACACATTGTCACGGGTGTCATTTCAGGGTGGGGAGGCTCTGCTCCAGGTGCTCAGTGCGATTTTAGGCAAGGCAGGTCAGCTCTCTTCCATGGCTCGAGTTATGCAGGAGGGCAGACTGAATGGTCTCAAGGTCCCCTATAGTCTTGACATCCTTGAGTCTGTGAAATGGGGACAATACACCCCCTGCCTCTCACCCTGATAAGCTGCTTCATGCCGGGGCCGTGTATCTCAGTGGGCGTGTTTACACGTGTATTTAAGTATGCCTAAATTTAATGCTCATTATCTTCATGCAGGTTTAGGCAGGTGTGTGCCCGTGCAGGCATTAAAGCACATTAACGCTGTGTGTGTGGACTGACTTGGGACTATCTTTAGTCCCAAGACATGCAGCATTAATGCGCTTTAACGCATCCACACGTGCATTAATGTGCTTTAACTATCCACGCCCAGGTTTGATACCTGCAGGTATAAAACATAGGCGCAGTTAGCCCCAAATTGCCATTTTTAAAGCTCATTAAGGGTGCACACGTGTAGATGCTCACCCTAATCCATCTTAAATTTAAGCTAATGCACCTTAAAGTGTCTTGTGTAGACATGCCCAGTGTGTACCTTCCAGGGAAGCATTCATGCATCAGCTTTCTGCTAGAGAGGTGCAGGTGGGACAGTACTGCAACTTCCTCCCAGACTGTGGAAACCCACCCAAAACTCTGGATATTTAGTGAGGTCAGCTAGCCAGTGCACGTCTATCTGTGCTACAGTCACACCTCTGACTGCTGTGGAGAAAGACTGCTCTGATCCTAGCTCCGTTAGGGTGGATAGCAGTCAGTGAAATGCGGCTTGGATCTCTATCACCGTGCATTTGAGCAGCTTCTTGTGTGGCAGAGCGCCAGGATCAGTCCTACGGTGCTATGCAGCGCTATTAGCCCCTCCAAATCTACCCCCGTGTATTCAGTGCCCTGTGGGACAGCACCCCAAACTTGGTCACGGTGGGCCTTGCCACATGTTCAAACCAAAGCTGGCTGGAAAACCAACTACAAAGGTGTTACACATTTCCAAGCACTGACATTGCAGCTGGTTGGCTCTTTTTATAGCTGGATGGACATTTTTATGGAGCGCTAATTATAGTGTAAGTGCGGGCAGTCTGAATTTATTGTGCAGTCAGCCAGCTAATTGTATTATAGCTGTAATATGCAGCAGGGGCCTGTGCGACAGTGCAGTGCCCAGCTCCTTATTGCCACGGCATGGGACGAGACTATTATTCCTTGTTTTCATTGCGGAGGAAAAAGGTGCCTGTAAAGGACTTGGATGAATGGTAGTTTATTTCTGTGGCAAAAACAGGCTTCCAACCTACTACCTAAGGTGGAAAGTAGCATTGTATATAAAGGTTTTATTGGTGGCATTGATTTGGGGTTATTTCAGAAAACACATGTAAAGAAGTTGAGCCATATTTTACAACTTACCATGCCATCCCAAGTATGGGGTCCCCTAAAAAGACGTCAGATGGGACCGGGTGAGAAACACCAGGCGTGTTATGAACAAGGGAAGACAATGTTCATTTGACAGCCAGATATTTTCTAGGAAAACATCATCCCACTGAATTACTGGATCAGCTGCTGATAGAAAGCAGGAAGGTAACTTGGACTGGTGTTGGGGGTGTCTGTCTTTTTATGGTCAGCTGCTCTGAGCGGTTTGGGCGGGTTATAAATACAATAAATCAAGCTCCGTCGCTGGGTGTCTGTACAGTGTCCAGTGCTGATCAGAGAATGCATATCTGGTCTGTGCCGTGCCCGGCTCAAACCTCCGTGGCGATGCCCGGGGTCAGAGGGTCTGGCTGGTGCCTAGTCGGGATGGGGAGGACTCTCCTGCGTTCCCGTCGGGTTTTGCATGGTGCCCATCATCGGCTGTCTGGATGCAGGCCCCGGGAGCTGCAGCTGTTGCCAGGGGAGATTCCAAAGCAGAGCCGGGCGCCAGCAACGGGAATGCAATAGGATCTGACCCCGGTATGGATGGCAAGGGTGGGGTTTGCTCCAGACTGACAAGAAGCCTGGCCAGTCCCAGCTTTGCAAAGGTGGGACTAACCCTGCTCCAGCAGCCTTGTCACTTCCTAGGAAAGGACCAGCCCATCAGCATCGCCCAGGGACATCCCCAGCACCCCCACACCCGGGTGCCAGGGTAGCTGGCAGGTGGTGTCAAGGAATCCCAAGCTCAGGGAAGAGAAGGTGGTGGTGGGACGTGGTGTTTGCTGCAGAGACGGAGGGGACGGGGGAGCAGGAGCCCCCAGGTACGTTCCCCTGCAGGGGCCAAAGGGAGAGGGGGGCTGCCCTGCAGTGTCACCAAGTGGGCTGCAAGGGGGACAGCTCCATCCTGGATACTTTCTTGAGAAAATGGCTTTCCCCCCGCCCCCCGCCCCGCTGCCTCTGAGACCTGCCATGCTTACTGCATCCTCGAAAGCCAAAAGCAGGGGGTCAGGCAGGGTGCATCTGTGCTGGGTGTGTGGGTGCAGGGATGGGTGAGGAGGGGTTTGCACTGAACGAGAGCAGGGAGCTGGGAGACCTATCTACGCCGAGTGGAGGCAGGGCGCTAGGGTTGGGGGTCACTATTCTGGCCATTGCATCATTTATAATAGCAGACAGCGATGAAATCCCTGTGTTCGAGATGCCTTGGTGTCAGAAATGATTCTGGTGAGCAATTCTGCAAGACGCTCCCGTGCCTCCCGGCTACTGGTATTGAGGCGAGGAGCCCCAAGGCTACAGAAGTGCCTTTGTTTTGTCCCTGCACGGTCTTTTCAGGTGTTTAGGTGTGCGGCAAAAGGCTAACGATGCCTATTTCCTTCCTCCAGTAAAGATGTCGGGGGGGTCTGATGAGTAGCTGAATGGGAAAGTTAAAGGCTGGGTACGTGGCAACCCACCTGTGGCAGGTACTGAACTGGGAAGTGCTGGAGAAGCTATGATGGGGGTGGAAT